TAACATATTTTAAATAAAAAATCATATACGGTAATAATGGCTGATGAATTCGCTGACAATGAGTATGAGGAGGGTGACAATCTTGTCGAATGGATAAATGCACAGAAAAATGCGTATCTTATGTCTTTGAAAAGTAAACATTTGAACGATGATCAGGTTAAAATAATTGCAAAAGAATTAAAAGTAAACAACGATTGGAAGTGTGTTGTTTTGGCTGATAACCAAATATCAGGTGCCATACGCGTCCAATATTTAGCGGATGCATTAATGGTAAACAAAGAATTGGACACTCTTACTCTGTCAAAAAATTATCTGTTGGATGAAGGTCTAAAATTAATTTGCGATTCGTTGAAAATGAATAGCAAGACTCAGCTTCGCTTACTCGATTTGGATGAAAATAAAATCACAGACGAGGGCTGCAAGTATATTTCAGAAATGTTAATTCAAAATACAAAATTATGTGGGCTGAATCTTGATGATAACTTAATTGGCGATGGTGGACTGTTGTCGTTGGCACACGCAGTGATAATAAACAGCAACAACAACAGCAGCACTAACGGTCTGTTGCAGATATCTATTAGAAATAATAAGATCAGTGACAACAGCGTCGATGTTATTATTGACTTGTTCAAAAACTCAAGACTTGAAACATTAAGTCTCGGTGGTAATCAAATATCAAATGAGGGAACAAATAGATTGCGACAAGTATTTGCAGATTCATATGGCACAAGTAGTGGCGATGATCTTTATTTATCAAGAATACCGCCGCGGATTCAACATGCGCAAGGTCGCAAAACCTAGAAGGGGTGGGAGTGGATACCCTTCCTCCCTCCTGAATGTTTGGAAAATGTAACTCGAATCATAAAGACAACTTTAGGCTAAGCTTGAGGCCAAGCTTCTAGTACTTTTGTCATTCCTTTTATCCTTAAATAAATCAGCTGAAACCAGATAGAGCTAGTAAACCTGCCACTAAAATATCTTCTGTAACATCTGTTGACGGGAATTTACGTTTGTGCCATAGTACAGTTAAACGGTAATAAAGAAATCTCAAATATCTCAAAATATTTCTTTCTCTTCGAATGTTTGGTTTTCTTTCTTTAACCTAACTACGAACTAAACTAAGCACGAGTCTGATTGATAAAAATAATCTCACATTCAGAGAAAGAGATGATATCATGATTGAGAATGATGATGATTATTTTAATGTCAGAAGAAGAGAAATTTATACTAGGATAGTAGGGAAGTCACCATCAGAAAAGAGTCGAGCTGTATTGATCGTTTTCGAACCAAGACAGAAACGGATGGAGTTCTAAGATTCAAAGTGATCTGGTACAAATGAAAGAATTGATTGTCCATCTGACAGAAGAGGCGTCGCTACAAGAAAAAGAGACATTGAATTAGACGTGCACCTGCCTCTAGTCAAATTACTTTACTTACTGAAAGTTAATCACATTATATTTATTCATTTTTGTGTGCAAGTTTAACGCTTTAAATAGATTTTTGTACAGGAAAAGATGCGTAGTTTTAATAGGCTTTAAATAAATTAAATTTGATAGATAATACGTCCTTTCAAATTTATGTCTCCATAGAGTTCTAAATCAACAGCTCAGAATAGTAATTATTCTTTTACAGCGTAGCTCTTTTAATTCTACATATTGTGGTATATTAACCATTCCCCGTCTGAGTATACTGACTGACAGACCCAGACACGTTTTACGGTGTTGAATGCGGTGTCAACAGTCGTCATTCGCTTCAAGAAGAAGAGAATAAAATCACTTTCGCGTCATTTGATTGCTATTCACTTACATTTTACTCTAGTGAGTAGAAAGTAAATGAGGAACAGAAGAACACGGCAAGAAAAAAAGCGTCTAAAACAGCGCCCACTGGAAAACGTCCACGGAAAAGCGTAGTAAAGAAAGCGTCGACAACAAGAGTCCACAAAACTTCATCCCAATAAGTGATAAGCAAAGTATTTAAGTGCATACTGCATGGATGAATCGCTTCACTGCACTAGCTTATCTCACAAAAGACTTTCGACGCTTTTTTTGCCGTGAACAAAAAGAAAGATACGCATTTTTCTGTGCATTTATCCATTCGACAAGATTGTCACCCTCCTCATACTCATTGTCAGCGAATTCATCAGCCATTATTACCGTATATGATTTTTATTTAAAATATGTTATTTGTGTGTGTGTCTACAGTGATTGCGCTTCTTCTTGACTGCCTGGTGAGTAGTTAGTTACGCATGAATAGAAAGGGTGATTTCTGTATACCTCAATCATTAGTGAAACGAAATAATAATATAAGGCTGACGACAGAGGAAAAATGGAGAAATATTGAATAGATTGGGTGTTCCTAATTGCAGCGGCATTTTGATGCAATTTACTATTTTACTTATTGTGCAATACTGCGACCAACACCTGTGAGAGTTGCCTTACATGTCTGAGTATAGAAGTGTCTGAAGATGTATGTTTTCAAGAAGGATCATTATCCTATCCTAAACACAGACAAGATACTCACTGTCTCTCATTTGTAATTCTACAACACAAAATACATCGTTTTTACTTTTGAAAACTACAACCTTCTTATTTTCCTGTTCATTTTTCCATTCGAAAAGATCGTCACGGTCCTCATACTGTTCATCGTCCAATATTTGGTGCGAAGGACAGGGAACAGTTCTGGAAGAAAATTACCCAATACAATTTTGAGGATACTGTAATTTGAAATAATGGAGAACACATTGTTATAAAATCTCTAAGTTTTCTACGCTCCAAAAGTTGATTGTAGAACCCTGAAATTTATGATGATCGTTGACTCAAAATCCCTAGCACATTATATTTACTCATTTTTCTCTGCAAGTTTACCGCTTTAAACAGACTTTTGTACAGAAAAAGATATGTAATTTAATAGGCTTTAAATAAATTAAATTTGATAGATGATACATCTTTCAAGCTTCAGGTTTTCATAGAGTTCTAGGTCAAATACTGTAGACGACTATTGGTACCGCATTTAACACCGTAAAACATGTGCAGGTCTGTCAGTCACTATACTGGGACGGGGAATGGGTAATATATCACAATATGTAGAATTAAGTGCGTATAATTTAAGCTTATTAAGTGTAAAGCAGAGAATCAGACAATCAGATAATCTTATATGTCGAATCTTCAGCGAATATTCAGAGTTGAATATTCTGTAAGTATGGTCTGTCTTTCTTTTGGCGCAGAGAATCAGACAATCAGATAAGCTCACTACACCTAAAGAATACTCAGATCTGATTATTCGACCTATAAGACTATCAGACTTCTCTACTTCATAAGGAAGTCATAGACCATACTTACACAATATTCAAATCCCAATATTCGAGATATAAGATTATCTGATTGTCGGATTCTCTGCTCTATAAGGAAGACAGATCATACTTACAGAATATTCAAATCTGAATATTCGCTGAAGATTCGACATATAAGATTATCTGATTGTCGGATTCTCTGCTCTATAAGGAAGANATCTGATTGTCGGATTCTCTGCTCTATAAGGAAGACAGATCATACTTACAGAATATTCAAATCTGAATATTCGCTGAAGATTCGACATATAAGATTATCTGATTGTCGGATTCTCTGCTCTATAAGGAAGACAGATCATACTTACAGAATATTCAAATCTGAATATTCGCTGAAGATTCGACATATAAGATTATCTGATTGTCGGATTCTCTGCTCTATAAGGAAGACAGATCATACTTACAGAATATTCAAATCTGAATATTCGCTGAAGATTCGACATATAAGATTATCTGATTGTCGGATTCTCTGCTCTATAAGGAAGACAGATCATACTTGCAGAATATTCAAATCCCAATATTCGACATATAAGATTATCTGACTGACTGATTCGCTGCTTCGCAAGAGACACATCATACATAGTCAATATTCTTATATCAGTATGAAAAACATTGGAATACTGGAAGAAATCTGAATATGTAACCTATTTAGATTTGACATCAACTGAGTTGGATTTGTGTGGAACTCGGTTTCTCATGGCTGTCTCAGATAGATATGTAAAAGTATATATATTTGAATCGAAGTCTGTTTGGGAATCTCGATTCATGGTCAAAATTTATGCTCCTCAACGTGAATTGAAGCTAATATGTTATTTTTGGTCTTGCAACGAGAAAAGAAAAGCTCTAGCATTGCAGAGTTTGACATACCGAACATTTTCTGTGCCAGAATAGTGTTGAAGCGTTTTAAGGATATCACACGAATATAGCTTTAGTGGCTTCAACATAATCGGCTGGAATAACGCATTCGCTCCGGCCGGGGTGAATGTGTAATTCGGAAGTATATCTTCGAAAGTCCCTTACCACGAAGTATCACTAGCAGATTTCAACAAACAGATCTCATAGATTGACAGAAAAATAATCGCTCTACCTGGTTTGCGAAGAAAGTTTGATGAAATACTGAAAAACGAAAAAGATACAGATTTGATGAAATTCATGATACCTTTTTAGTACGTATTCATCCCTTCTTACTCTATTTACACCAGCAATTCACTTGTTGGATTCTAACCGATAAAAACACATTAGTCAGCGGATCGTATATCTTGTATCATATAAACCAGTGAAAGAGAAGAATAATTATCTTTCTTGTTGTGGATGAATCCATGGGATCTAAACCACTTTTCTAAACGAAATTATTTTTTCGATTTTAACCATCCAGTTAGACGGAAAATTATCGAAACGGTGGGTAGCAAGACAGAAAACTTTTTTCTGTACATAAAGTTTCGAGATTCAAGTCGTTCTTTAGGAACAAGGTATATCCATAGGAATTCTACCACTTTCTGGAGGATTACTTTCTTCGATTTTGTTCATCTAATTAGATGGGAAATTGTCGAAAACGGCGTGTAGCCGGAAGAAAAACATTTTTTTTGTACCTGAAATTTAGATATCCAGATCGTTGTTTAGGAATTTAAATGGTTCTTTGGGAATGCTCCTAAAAAACGGTCTAGATCTCGAAACTTTGTATACAAAAAAATGTTTTCCTTCTGGCCACCCACCGTTTCGATAATTTCCCGTCTAACTGGAGGGACAAAATCAAAAAAAGTTTGCTCCCAAGAGGTGCAAGAAAACACATGAATTTTGCGCAACATGTTGCTAGAGAACGAGTTGCATCTCCAAACTTTAGGTACAAGATTTCTTTTTCTTTTCGGCTAAATACCGTTTCCGATCATTTCCCCTCTAACTGGATAATCAGAATCGACAAGTTTTTTTTGCCAAAATGTGTTCCAAACTCCATGAATTCACCCTTGTGTCATTCCTGTTCGTGTTATCGTCTTCGCTTATGTAAATAACTCAAATGAAGTGAATGATGGTCCTAGATAGTCTGGGGGACTCCTAGGTACTCCTTGGTACTCCCTGGTACTCCTTGGTATTCCTAGGTACTCCTGGGTACTCCTGGACCCCTACGTACTTCAAAAGTCAGGAGTATGCTGTTTCCCCCTTGGTTATTTTACTTGGCATTTCGTCTACTTCCGCTTTCATTTTTCCAAGTGTGATGTGGGAAACATTTCTGCATAAAAAAATCAAGAAGTAGCATCCATAGCTAGTCAAAAATCGCGATGAGACGAACAGGAGTGATTCGATTTTCAAAGAACGACATTTGTTTGAAAATACTATTTTACTTCCTTTGACTTTCGATGAACAAACAGAATAGAAAAATATGCTTTTACCGAGAATGAAACCCACGACCGAGGGCTGGTTTTCCGGACTAGTCCTCTAACCATTAAACTATCGAAGCACGACGAACACAGAGTTTCTATCTGAATGATATTTAATCATCGAAAGTCAAAGGAAGTAAGACAGTACTTTTCAAACATAAGCTACTCCTTACAATCATTGGACATTAGGGATGACGTTTTATTGTCTTTTCATATCATAAAATCCTGTGTAAGATTCAACAGTTGAATCAATACACAAGAATGTACAAAGAAGACGAGCAAGCATGAGGAATTCGAAGAGAAGTAGAGCAGCTCATTTTATCTCAGCAACCAACAAGATGAATCCTTCAATATATTCAGCCCGATCGATCTCGTTGTCATCGAAGCGAGTGTCTTCTTGGCGTTCTTGGCGTTCTTATACATTTTGAGATGGATTTCGCCGAGCTCTATCGAATGCCGTATGCTTTTTCAAAATTCGTCGTTTGACGGAAAACTTTTATGCTACTTATGTCAAGAAATCAAATAATGGATGATAACTATACTTTTTGACTTCGATTCGGTCGAAATATTTGAACTTATATGGCTTAGGACAGTACAGAACGAACAAAATGTCATAGAATATTTGGAACACTTCTGAAAATAGTTTTCATGCGAATTTGACGATGTGAACCGTTGAGTTTTCAAAATCGCATGTAGAGAACGGCACCAGAAATAAAAGAATCGTTCGAGGTTCCTTCAAGAAATTCGAGATATACCTATCATTGCTAATGTCGCGAAACAAAGTGAGCGAAGACGAGACATTCAGAAAGTATCATCTGGTTTCACTTATGAACTAAGGAAATTCAGTGAATATCTTTCTGCAGAAAGAGTCTTTGCATCGCTGACTTCTTTTATTAGGCTATTCTCAAGCACTCTACTATTTTTTTCATACGGCAATAGACGTGGTTTTGTGTAGACAGTTACCGAGACCTAAGATTGTACTACTGAGCTAGGCAGAACGGCGCAATACGGCGATCATGTACGACACCGTATAAGAGCGTTTACGCACTCGGTATTTGTGTTCTGAGAGGATGATAACAAGGATGTCATAGCACCCGGAGGCACAGGACTCCGCTGACCTAAGAGATCATTGAGAAGTGTGACACCTTCGAATGGCTTGTCATGCGAGATTTTCAAGGAGTCCTAAGCACCTCTCTAATAGACCCACTCGCATTAATCTCGATGTTGCTCAGTAGCTGATCGATTTCCAGGCAAAATCAAATTTATTTTTTTCGGCATTCGACTGTTGTTCTGGATAATTCGATTCAAGAATAGGTATAGCAAAATACAGAAATGTCGAGCTTCTTTTTGCTAATCACTATGCCAGGCTCTGAAAGTGAGTTCGATAGCCTTCGCAAACAAAATATTTTCAGACATCCATCTGAATCCGATTCTAGATTGATACTTCAGACAAATTAATTCATAACATAAAAACATGAATGATGCATTGTTCCAAACGAATGACTGGGAGTCGCATATGACGCTGAATCTTCTGAAGCTTACGATGCAGCTTACAGAGGACCAATTGGTCTACCTAAAAAAGTTAATCTGTATTCGAACGAAGCAGCGAGAGCAGATACCGCCCACACAGCAAGGCTGTATCAGTCCATCCATGATCATCGACGGTTTCCTATACCATGGCGATTTGAATCATGCAAAGAACACAAAATTACTCCAAGAACTCGACATTCGACATATCATCAATGTGTGCGATTGTCCACTGGAACAAAACATTCTTGGTCAATGTCAGGTCTTATGGATCAATTTGGACGATGATTTGTACACTGATATTGCCGAACATTTTAATACGACAAATGAATTTTTGCAGTCCTGTAAGACAAAGGGCGAAAAAGTACCGGTTCACTGTCAGATGGGCGTTTCTCGGTCGTGCGCAACCATTCTCGCCTATCTAATGAAGTAACACTCGTACTTTTACTTCGCAAATCGTCTTCCTTTACTCGATCTAGGTACCATCATGATTCTCTGGACAAAGCCTGCGATTATTTGGTTGAACGAAGGCGTCGCGCTGAACCCAACCTTAGCTTTCTTCTACAACTGGTTCGATACGAGTGGAAATTACGCAAGACAAAAGAGATCCGCAAGGGCAGAACATTGGTGAGAAGAAAAATCCGATCGAAACACTTGATGCGATTAAAAATTCGGCAGTTTCAATTGGTCCCATTGACGAACTGGCGAAGACGAGAGTACCACGATCAAACAGAAAGAGACTAACTAAAATAGACAAGGCACTTATGTGCTTCTGCCGAGAATCGCATCGCAACAGTGTAAACAACTAATTAATGGGCCCCACGAGAGCACCTTCCCCCACAACAAACACAACTTTTTTCTGATGACAGAGAATAATTACACGTTAAGTCATTTGGTAAAAACATGACGGAGATATTCAAATATTTTTCGTAGAGCGACTTTCGGGACACTCTGCATATACATCAGTCAAGTTATCTGTTCTAGAATATGCCTAAAAAGCTCTGATTCGGTATTGTACCCTTTCTTTTTCCATTGCTTTCTATTTATGCGAATTGTTTACTCGTTTAGTTGGAAAAAACTGTTACTGCAAAGTGAAGAGATACCTGTGCCTTCTCGCATATGAATTCTTTTTCTTATTTATACATATACAAGTAAATTGACATTCGCTTTCGAAATTACAGTGCTACATGAATACGAAAGATTATTCTATATTTTACTTAGTATATATATTGATGATTTACCTAATGGCATAGAAAGTGTTATGAGATTGTTCGCAGATGATATTATTCTCTTAAATCATCATAAAGATCCAGCTTTCTGCGAGCAAAGTAGACCGAGAACTCAAAAAAAATAGAACAATGATCAGAGAAATGGTATATACCTTTAAACCCATCAAAATGCGCGTCAATTACTTTTTCTACGCGATATCATCACAAAGATACATCATCTTTTACACCGTCGTTATTAAACGGTTCATCTATCGCAGAAAAAGAAGAAGTACGATATTTAGATCTGCTGCTATCCTTCGACTTAACATGGACAAGTCATATTAACAAGATCCTGTTTCAAGTATCTTCTGTAGCCGGTATAATGAAATTTTACAAACAAACACTACGCAAAAATGTTCGTCAGATTATTTATAAGTCTTGTGTTTTATTGGTTTTAAATTATGACTCAATAATTTACTCATTGACTGCAGAAACGAATCTCGTTAAGTTAGAAAGCCTACAGTACCAAGCGGCGTTCACTGTCGCAGGAGCTATCAAAGGTACATCGAAAGAGAAGTACTATGAAATATTACGATGGATTAATGTGAAGAATCACTTTAAACATTTGCGATTGTTGACTTTCGCAAAAATCATAAAAGGATTAGCACCTCTCTACTTAACTTCTCATCTACAAATTCGACAACGGAATAGAAGCTACGATTTACGCAGCAGTCAATGATCCTTTTTATAGCGGTAAATAGCACAGACAAAGACTATTTTACTGTTGTATATCGAGAATGGAATGATCTTACATTGAATGACACGAATTTATCAACTATGAAAATATCTAAATTAAGCGATACTTTAAAAAGTCAGTATATGTCAACGGATGTTTTTTCTAAAAAGCTTCAAGCCGATAAAAGCAAATTTTCCAAAAAAAAAAATGACAACAATTTATAATTGAATTTAAAGATGAGCTCCAATGTGACAATGATTACAAAACAAACCAACACTACAATTTGGCAAAAACAATACTTGGTGGTGTAATCTTTGTTGGTTCCGTTGCTATTATTATCGCAATGCCATGGGCTTTACCAATTGAAGCAGCTATTGTCGTTGGTGGTGTTGTTGCACTTGGCGCATCGATTCCGTCAGCCATAAAATTTTTGTCAGGTTTTAATGGTATAAGATTACAAGATGATGTTGACAAGCTATATCATAAATTCACATTAGCTAATGAAGACCTTGATAAAATGAAAAAAAAATTATCAGATATTAAAATGAATCATGAAAAAATAACAATACGTTTAGATGATGAAGAAACACGGTCATTAATTGAATTTTATAAAATAATACTAAAAAATATTGATGAAATAAGAGACATTTGTTTATGACCATTAGCTCATTTTTAAAAATTAAATTCAATAGCCGAATAATAAACGTGAAAAATATTTTTATTTAATCTTTTTTTATTCTAGCAACAAATAAAAGCTCAAACAGTGATTTGAATTTAAAGTAAGACTGACATCAATAACAAAGCGAATGAAGGAAGGCTAAGATCTCGATCTCCGAGATGTACAATCCGGGAATTGCTGAAAATATCAATGAAGCAGTTGATTAAATAGAGACTTTATAAAAACAGAATTCTCTTTGTATGTACATTTTTTGTGTATGAAAAGCTTTCAGTCAGCCATGACTATTAATATTATTATTGTTCTCATAATTTGTGTTAGATCCATTTGTTGTTATGGTAAGATATGAAAAGAATGAGAGATAACAACATATACTTATGAGATGTGTCATTCTTCAAACAAAAGAACAAATGAGAAAAAACTCTTTATTTGAGTAAGACTGAAAAAATTTCTTGAGTCATTTGTCATAAACAAACTGGCCTGAGTCTCTTGGATTTTTTAACAGTATTTGAGGAAGAATCTATAGTTTAATTGCCCACTTCCTCTACAGTTTCGAAACACGTATTTGGTAAGCAAAACGATAATGGTAAAGTACGGTTTGAAACTACAATGTATTTTACACATTTTCTAACTAAGAGAAGAAGTCGATAGAGAATTAAAGAGAGTTCTAGAAATATTATACTTTAACAAACAAAAAGTCATTTATATATTACTCTTATTCATTATTATTCTATAGCCATGGTTAACAGGTTTCCGTATAAAGAGTATCAGGAAGAACAAAATGCATTTTAGCTAAAATCGCAAACACCAACAACATGAATGAAGTACGGAATGTATATGTTTCGAGTACAGTGTATGTGTATAATGTATTTATTTTGGATTTTTTAACAGTATTTGGGGAAGAACCTATAGCTTAATTGCCCACATCTTCTACAGTTTGTTTAGCAACATTTGTAAACGTATTGATAAGGACATCCGAATTGAGTAGTAAATTTGTCATTTCACCAATGAACAATGAATTTGTAAATGTTTCTTTAATACTTTGTAGCAAATGATTGTCCATCGTTACAAATTCTGGTACATTTGGTATCGATTTTGATTTTTTAGCTAAGAATTATTATTTGGAGATGGAGGACTATGGTTATCTTTATTCATAGATAACAAGGTTACTCTGACAAAAATGTGACTAGACGCGTGCTTTCACTATGAAAAATAAAGCAGAATACAATTATATTAACAAAGCGTTAGAATGTTTTAAATGTTTTACATGAATTAATGTTATCCTGTCCTTTTATATTAGTTAGAAGAATTGCCCCTAAGATATTGTGAAACTCTGAGATTCTCAGATTTTAATTGCCGCTATGAAAACTTTAGCCATCCACAATTGTGTTTGTCAAATATTTTTCCCGTTGAATAAAATGTAATATGGAACATGCACTCAATAATTATATTAGAACTTGAAGAGCACTTAAACAGACATATGGGGATGAGACACTTTTCTGGCCTGCCGAACTGAGAGAAAGTGAAAAAGTGTGATTTTTGACAGTATTAACCTTGATCATATATCAAAATTTTCAAAGAGAATTTCTCGATTAAGAAGTTTAAATATTGTAATCTGGTTAGCGAGAAATGATAAAAGGGCATTAGAGACTTAGAAAAAGATGAGTCAAAGGTAGATTCCTTTGTGTATGACCATAGAATTCAATAACTCGATGATTTTCTAATTGAATTTTTTGTGTTGCAAAGAAAAGATTAATTTCTTTATCAGTTATATCAAGTGACATTGTATGTCTCATACATTTAATTGCAACAATTTTTTCTGGAGTTCTTAACTTTGCTGTATATATTTCACCATAACTGCACTGCCTACGTTAACCTATTTAATTACATCATATGTTACATTTTCGATTTCAATTGTCTGATATTTCCCATTTAATATTTGTTTTTCAATACATTACCACAAACTGCTCTTATACATTTCGTACTTCATTCATGTTGTTGGTGTTGCTGTAATTGCGAATTTAGGTAGAATGCATTTTATTCTTCCGAATCCTCTTTGTATGAAAAACTGTTAACCATGGCTATAGAATAATAATGAATAAAAGTAATATATAAATAATTTTTTGTTTGTTAGAGTACAATATTACTAGAACTCTCTTTAATTTTCTATCGACTTCCTCTCTTAGGGAAGCCGTCAAAATTCATATCGGTGAATATTTTCACCTTCGTATTTTCGTTTGATTGGAAACAAAATCGAGAACAGTATTAGTCAATATGCATGAGAAAAAGAATGTGAAACTATGGTATAACAGAATGACGAGGTATGTATATAGTGCAGGCAAACTTAAAATTCAGTCAAATTTAAAATCTGGCTAGGCAAAATTAAAATTTTAATTCTGCCTGAACAAAAGTAAATTCTAATTTTGACTAGATATTTGGTAGGCAAAATTAAAATTTTTATTTTTACTTGTTTTAACCATTTGTATTTCTGTCTTACATACATTATATCTGACCACCATGGCCCGAAGAGAAAGCCGGAAAGCCATGGTAGTTCCGAAAGATCTCTGAAAACTCATTTGGCTTTATATTGATGTAGACACCTACTTTTTCATACCTTCAGCTGTGATATGGGCAGCCTTATAACTCAAAAAGTAAACGGTACCTTTTTCTAAAAAATAGCATGGTATAGAGAGTACAAGTTGTGTACTACAAACTGCCAGAAAAGCTGAGGAAGGGTACTGTCAAATTTGTTAACTTTTTAATCGGGGAAGTTACCAGAATAAACACTAATTTCATAGTAAAGGGAATCTTTCTTGATAAAACGATAAAATTTGTTCTTTTCTCCATTTCTTGCTTTATATCTCTCTCTATACATACAAAGAAAAAAAACATCAAGTCAAGTGTAGTACAGAAGATAAAGGATCCTAATAATCCTTCTTCATTATCAATTAGGGAACTAAATTTTACTTTGTTCAGTTGAAAGAATAACATTTGATCATATCAATGTGTCGCATCGAAAGAAAAGAGATTAATCGAACATAATTTTAAGAAACAGATTACTAAATTTTACGTTTTTTTGTTCTACTCTAACTTCCAACATCAGTTGTCTACATAATTTATCAATTGATTATATTCCAGAAGAAATTTCAATGCCATATACTCAAATTCCCTGAGCACTATCAGGGAATGTACAGATTCCCCAGGGAATGTACAAATTCCCTACAAATGTCAGGGAATGTATACATTCCCTGTAACATATACATACATCGTCATTCTGTTATACCATAGTTCCATATTCTTTTTCTCAGGCATACTGAATAATACTGTTCTCAATTTTGTTTCCAATCAAATGAAAATATGAAGGTGAAAATATTCACCGATGTGAATTTTGACGGCTACCCTTTGTTGGAAAATGTGTAAAATACATTATAGTTTCACTTTACCATTATCTTTTTCCTTAACAAAAACCTGTTTCGAAACTGTAGAGGAAGTGGGCAATTAAGCTATAGGTTCTTCTTCAAATACTGTTCAAAAGTCCAAGAGACTCAGGCCAGTTTGTTTATGACAAAGGACGTTTTTTCATTCTTACTCAAATAAAGAGTTTTTTCTCATTTGTTCTTTTGTTTGAAGAATGACACATCTCATAAGTATATGTTGTTATCTCTTATTCTTTTCATATCTTACCATAACCACAAATGGAATAAATTGAGACTATTCTTTTTAAACTTTAAAACTTTTTTAGGCGAGTTGACGTTTTAATGGAATTTCTTTTATTTCTTTTGAATAAAGTTAAACAAATTTGTTAGACGTTGCCGAAGGAAGCAGAAAGAACATGGATGTCCTCTCGATTCGTCGCTAATTTATTTCTCAATTCATCCCTTCTCATTTCATCCCTTAAAATTTTTTTCTTGATTCGTCCCTCAGATACATGCATAGGCTAAATTATTCGGCTTTTAAATTTATTTAATAAATTTTGTAAAAAGACCAACACTAATAATTAACAATATATAAACAGCTACAATTCAGATCCGTTTAGGATGCTTAAAAAAAGAAGCTCACTATCCTATATAAACTTACGGATATTCAGTAGAGGAGTACACAAAAATTCTCCGAAAATGTTACATTTCACTCTCACTGAGCGGGGTAAGCCAGTTTTAAATTATAAAGATTATCAATATACTAAAAAATGAGAGCATAAAACTCGGAATGAATGGCATTGTCGTGATAGACGTTGTACAAGTTCAGTATCATTATGTTCACAAGACAAATTCATAATTCGTGAAGAAACAGATCATACATGCACACCAAATACAAACAAAATTATTATTGATGATGTTATTGGTCGAATGAAGAGGCGAGCACGAGAAGAAACAATTCCAATTCCCAAAATTTATTTTTGGTTCAGAATGGAGTTTTTTATCATCATGTTCACTTTAGCATTCCGATGGTACATTTGATGTTCGTCCATTATTATTTGCTCAATTGTACGTTATATTTGGTTTCAATAATGGATATATGATTCCATGTGCTTATTGTTTAACAACGAAGAAAAATGAAATTACATATACTAAAATTTTGAATCATTTGATTGCACTTGGACAAAAATTTAATGTTATTATGAATCTACTAGGGGTGGCGCTTTACCGTTTCTTTACAGGTAACGCAGTAACGCATGCGTTATTGCGTTACTAGTAACGAGTAACGGGATGCGTTTATTTTTCATAGCTTTTGTAGCGAGTAACGCAGCGTTACTTGCGTTACTTTAACGCTTTTTTGCGTTACTTTTCTAGTAACGCAGTAACGCTTGCGTTACTCATTACCAGTAACGCAACAACGCTTGCGTTACTCGTTACTAGTAACGCATAATATAGTAACGCTTTAGTCGCATTGTGTCCGGAAGGTGATAAAACAATACATTTTCGGTTGTTCGTCACTCATACGGTGATATTTGAAAGCGTTGCTTTACTCAGTAAAGTAACGCATCAGTAAAGAAAATGTGCCACCCCTAGAATCTACAACGTTTGACATGTGATTTTGAACAGACTGTTATTAATTCATACAGTAACGTATTTACAAACATCAAAATTAATGGGTGTTTCTTCCACTACGCACAATCATTATGGAGAAAAGTTCAACAAATCGGTATGAGTCGTCATTTTCTTCCAAAGAATGCTAACAGCAACAACAACAATATGTCCGATGCTGAACGTAAAAAGGCAGATCATTGGTTTAGCATTAATACCAGCCAACATAGTTGAAAGCACTTGGACGGATATTATAGATTTATACACACCAGATGATGTTAATGCTACTGAATTCAATGATTATTTAGTTCAAACCTATGTAGATAGTGATATTAGTTTATATGGGATAATATATGGAATGTGCATGATGCAATAATTAATGATTTACCAAGGACAAACAGTCATGTTGAGGGGTACAATAGTCGTTTGGAAAGTAATTTTCCAAAACACCCACATATTTATCATTTTATTGAATTGTTACGTGACGAACATCTATATCAACATCATAAAGCCGAAGAATCAGATATGCAAATCAGGAAACGAAAAAAATTATACAATAATATTGATAGTAAGCTAAAAGAGTTTCATAAAGAACACATAAAAGAAACAATAACAAATGCTGAACTGGCTATTAAATGTGGTAGAGCTGTTAAAACAACCCCAATTAAAACATGATATCTTCGCAAATAATTGGTTTGTCTTGTGGGCATAGTGGTATTGTAGCTTTTTATATATTGTTAATTATTAGTGTTTGTATTAAGTAATAACTGGGTGAATAGTTATCAGTTCATCGAAAAAACTGAAGGACATATGTAATCAGGTGTCCTCTTCAAACTGACATAGTGTGAGCGCATATATGGGGGGATCCCTTACTAAGCCCCCCTCCTTCCTCCTCAAAAAGTGAACCTTTTCCTAGCTGAGTTATGGTAGGAGTAGTTTTCCAAAGTTCCTTTGAATATCCTCTTTTGGAGAAAGACCTAAGATTTTCTTTATTATGAAACGATACTCCTCTTAGGAATATTGTTCAACAACAGTTGCAGTCAGTGTTAAAAATACACGTTGTTTACTAATTTCCTGTAATTATAAAAAATTTTATTATATTGTTCTTACATTTTCAGATATTCACCCTTTTTTAATTGCTGCCAGGAATGTTATTTTCTCACTCACTGTTACTATCCGCCTCATCCTCGATAAGCAAGGTGCTTGTCAAAACACGAAAATATAATCCAAATTTTTAAAGTCAAAGTTCAAATCCGGTGGACGTCCTTGATGAAACTCCCTAGAGTGGCGATATCCATTCCGTAAAAAACTAAGTTATCAATCATGCAGACAGGGAACAAAGTTTTATCTTCGAGGAAAAAAACTGAAAATACACATGGTTCAATAGTTTTGAGAACCACCGTAAATAAAAGTCGGGACAGTCATATACTGTTCAGCATATATTTGCCTGACGGGATGCTTTCTAAAAAATCTAATGTATTTCAATTTGAAGCTCGTTAAATTCTGCATTTTTTTATATCACAGCCATTCTGGATCTGATTTTGTTTACAGCACTATAATTCACTAACTCTTCTAGAACAGGTCAAAATCACTGCATCTTACCCATAAGTCTAATAAACGTACAATTTGAAAGAATGCGTGATAGATCGTAATAAATAGCGAACAGGTTTTCTGGGCCGATGCTTAGAAATGATTAAAAACTCCAGCATAGGGTAGTCTACAATCAACTTTTAAGGCGAAGAAATATTAAAAACTAATTGGTTCCTGATCAGCTCCAGTCGTTATCTTCTCAAAAATGTCTAGGGTCATTTTCTTGCAAAAACCGTCCCCTGTCCTTTCCGAAAATTAGCCAGTTTCATCGCTTCAATGTATTTCAAGAATTCTATAGCCATTTTTTCTGATTCTGAAGTTCTCTATTTATCAAAAAGTAAAGTTGAAAATTTTTAAATCAAAGTGTCTTAAGGATTAATGGAACACGAGCAGATCAAAAAAATGCCTCTACATATATTCAAAAACCCATAAAATCCTCTGGGTTATGCAAGAAATTGCTTTTCTTCCAGCATTCTAACTCTGATACTTCTGGGAAAGAAGTTACATGGAGTTTCAGAAAATATCAATTCATCGTGGAGGAAAGTCACTTTCTTTTTCTTGTACTTAGTCAACAAGATTGGTCGGCTTGTCCAAACGTAACCGCGTGACATTTTTCACATGCTTATCCTTAATTATCTCAAAAACTATAAGAGCTAGAAAGCTTATTCTAGCGCCATTCGACGCAGGTCGCTTTACTCTACTTATGATGTAAAAATGAAGTTCTTCTGTTCAAGTCTCGAGCTTTCAGAAAGGCTTCTTCAGTGCCTAACGCCGTGACATAAAAAGGCCCTAAATTTTGAGAACTTTGAGAATTTTGAGGTGATAAAGCTCTAATTTCCTGCAAAAGTATCTATCCAACCGGAAAATTTCAAGAGCCAGTTCTGTAGAACATCGAACGAGCTATTCAACGGTAAAAAGAGTTCCTTCCAGTGATTTCTGCTCAGGTATAAAATGCAAAAAAACAAACGTATCGCCGTGACATTTTTTGTAACGGCGTGACACACTTTTTTGTTGCAGCATTTTTAGGCACTAAACGTTGTTTAAAAAGCTTCATACTTATAGTCTGAGTAGTTCTAAGTTTCCTGAAAAGACTCCAGTTGAAAGTAAAGTTCGAAAAATTCTCTGAGACTTTCAGACCAAGGCAGAAGGTGAAACGTTCAAGCAGCCACTGTGTCTCGACTGAAAATAGATCTCAAAACAAAACGAGCCATTTTATAGAGAGCTAAATTCTCTATTCAATGGTATAGTTTTACGGAACAAAAGTTCGGAAAAAAAGTTTACGAAAAAAAAGTCGGATTCGTGATCAATATGAAAAGCAGCATCTGGTGACCGGTCCCTGTCGATTTTCGATGAAAAAAATCCCAAAAAGCTTGATCAACGAAGTGTTTCGTCTCGAAAACCAACGCTAATAAAAACGCGTTTCACAACGAAAGAAAACGCGTTTTTTGGAATTAGCAAACGATCGTTAAAAGGGCCCTTTAAACGCGTTTTTGTCGTTCAGAAGTTTAGAATAACAGGTTTACTAACGATCGTTAAATTAAACGTTTTCTGGCGTTTTTATTGAACGCGTTTTCTAACGACGTTAAAATGATGTGACTTCGAATTTTTTTCTTTTTGTAAACGCGTTCTTATATAAAATAAACGCGCCTACACTGAGTAAATAAGCAGGTAAAAGAATATTAAAAGTTATTCAATTTATTCTAGACACTTTATAGCTTGTGTTTCTTTTTTCCCTTCTCGCTCAAATATATAAATTACTGTTCGATACCATGGGATTTTAAAGGAACCGGACGTGCAAAACGTAATGTAGTTTAACTATTTTTCTATCAAAATACATCATTATTTCTATTCTAGCTATTACGGTGATTTTGTTTCGTTTAAATTATGAGACAAGAGATCAAAACTGATCGAAACTTTAGCTGAATTGTAGCTAAAACAGCTTGACATCATTTGGTTGAATTATGTCATCAAAATCTGGTGAAGAATAACAGACATTTAATCGGCTGCCGAATATGCTTGAAAACTTCAGGATGTAGCTAGTTTTGTCCGTTTAACATGATTATACTATCAAAAGGATTGAAAAAGCATGTTTTTAGTCAGAAGTTTTCTAGAAACCCTTTTGAAAAATCATAGAGTTTTAGACTGGTACTTACTAGATTTAGATAGTTTTGAAATCAGGTGAAACACGCGTAATCGATCGCACTGAATATGCTGGCAATGTTACAAACAGTTAAAAAGGCGATAGAAAACAGAGTTTTAGCAAAATTGAGGTTTCAAGGCTGTCCAATTAATATTAAAAAATTCACTCGAAAAACTTCAGGATGTACAGTATTTAGGCTATTCTACATCCTACGGATAAGAAATTCACAAAAGCTAATCTACAAAACCCTATGATTTTTCGAAATGTTTGGCCCAAAACATGCTTTTTCAGCCTTTTTGATAGTATAATCATGCTAAACAGACAAACTAGCTACATCCTGCAGTTTTCAAGCCGTCCTGAAGCTCCAAGGAAACCGGATACCACGCCCGCACCATAAAAAGTCAAGGTCTCTCCTGCTTCCCATTTTGAAGAGGTTTATGTCCATGAAGAGAATCAAAGATATTCATATTTGAAGTTTTTTAGTTAGGAATTGGTTTTTTAAAGATCTCCTCCAAAGCCGACTTAAATAGATTCGAATTAATATCTGTTAATAAAATGTGTCCCAAAGTCTCTTCTTTTGAATGGTGAAAATTTGAACTCTCTTCCACATTTCATTCGCGAGATATTCAAAAATGATCATGGGCATTATGTTTTAAAAATTAATACTGTCTCTATAAGTAAAGGTCAAATAGTCGGGAAAAAGTTTCTTGATACGTAACTTGATGTGCACAACAAATAAGATAGTCCATAATAATTTCAATGAAAAAAATTGAGGATTTCTGGATGACGTTTCTAGAAAGTCGATTTCCAGAAACAGCATCAGACACCTCCGTTATGAAATTTGGAATAAGCATCATCGATTACCCCTAGTTAAGTAGGCTTCAAGGAAAAATTGATGCAACATCTGAGGACCTTCCGTCTTATTAAGAGCATACACCAGCTCGATCCATTCAAAAATCTAATGAAAGTCGTAAAACTCGTTATGAGAACAAATGTGTTATTTTTATTTGAAAACATTATCCTCCTCACGTACAAGTATGTAACAAAGTCACTTTGTAAACTGGATTTTTTATGAATTCCTAGTGCTATTTTTCCTCATATAAAACGTTATATTCTTTTCGGGATGGGATCCAGTTTAGAATAATGATAAAGAGTAAAGCGAATAAATTATAGAACGTAAAGCAGGCAGTAGATGCTGCTGAACTAGTAGTTGTGGATGGAGTTATTGATGAAGTTGTTGATGGAGCTGTTGATGTACGATTTCCCGGCGGCGGTGGTGGTCTGCCATCGTCACCACTTGATATTCTGCTTGAATTCACTCCCACAACAACACTTCCACAAAGACCTCCTACGAAACCAGTTTTTGGATTCTCATACTGAACGTCAACTATCTGATACGATCCATTCGATTCCCGATAAATACCATCCCGATCATTCAATGTACGATTTATTCTGTGCGTGTTATATGGGCCCAATTGAGCAATTTGATCGGTAAAAATCTCATTGAAGAAAAATTGCCCGGTATGAGAGATGGTTCCATTAACGTAGTACTGAGTTTCTTGCGCTATAATACCTCCAAAACGAACTCGTACATGAATATGTGTCGCTCGTCCTCGATACCATCCAGGATAAATGGTCTGAAAAGTGACAGACCCATTGGAATCGGATAACTGAAAACCACGAAGATATGTTGTATTGTCCGGTTGAGCGTTGGCTATGTTATTGCTCGCTTGTTCAAAACGAGAATAGATGCCTATAGCATCACATTGCCAGATTTCTACGAACGCATTTGCAATAGCTGAACAGTTATTCGTGTCAATAACTGTGACTGATAAACGAAGTGGGATACCGGATTTTCCTTCCCTAGAACAATTCATTACATCCTGATATTTTACATAGTGCAGATGATGAGCTTCAAACACTTACGTGATATCTTTCCGAAAGTCTGACGTATTCCATGAGTAAGGACCTTGTGTTGTCTCTGGTATTAGATAACATGGTAGTTTACCATCTCGTTGACAGTTTAACTCTGTAATATAATTTTTTAAAACAAATGTAATAATCATAAAAAGTTTAAACTTACGCTCATTTTGACAATGGACATGAAACAACGCAATGGATAACGGAATAATAAGTTGCGTGAAAATCATTGCACTTTTGTCTCTCAAATCTTCCAAAATCTCTCATAATATATTTATCCATTCTAATAGTAAATCGATATGTTTGTTTGACGCATTAAAATAATCACAAAAACCCACGATAAAGTACTTTTTTGTGTATTGTCAAGGATCAAGTTTATCATTGTTAAATAGAAAGAGTACATTCATTTTAGTTTTCAAGCATATTTGGGAGCCGATTAAATGTCTCTTATACTTCAACACATTTTGATGACATACACAATGTGTAACATGAACGACGCACCTAGTGACATGGATGTTGATCATGAAATAAATACTGGTTTTTTTTTCTTTTCTTTTGCTAGTTGTTTATGAAAAATAAAAATAAATTCTAATAATTATTCGATCAGTGAATGATTTTTTTCACAATGAAATTATACACGGTGATTAAGTAGAAAGTAAATTCTAAATCTGAGTATGGTTGCAGTTTTAGCTTCAGCCAATCTATTTTTAATTGAATTGTAGGATGTTGATTAATTAATTCTAGAATCAGAGTAAAACAATAAGTATGTATAGCTAAAATCGTAAGACATTATGGATAGTTAAAAAACGAGTGATATATTATGTTTCTTTAAACCAATCTAAATGGATTTGTTGATCGAAATTCATCTAAATTAATTTTCAATCAAAAATTTATTCCAACCGATTTAACGAAAAATAATATACATCAGTTTGTAATTCAAAATTTAGTTAAAATTAATTTATAGACTCAAATTTCTTTGAAGAGCTTTAAGGATCCCCCCCCAGAAATGGTGATTTTCGGTCAAAAAATCGGTTTTGAGATACGCACATGGAAAGATAGCCTGAAGTGTCTACTTCCAGAATCTGTATTGCTTTTGGTTACAAAACTGGTTGTTCGGAGATTTTGAGCAAGTTTTCTAAGAGCCTCAAAAAAACGGATCTTCAAATAATGGTTTTTTCCTGGATACTTACGAAATTAAAATTTTTCTGAAAACACAGCTTTGTAGAGCAAACGTTTCTGATCAAAATAAGATCTCAAACAACTCTGTATGACCTTGCGTCAAAAAGTTACAGGCATTTCTCTAGAAGTCCTAAAATCGAGTATTTCATACAGCGTTTAATACAGCGTTTTCTCTATATAAGAGTTACACCTGAAGTGCGTCCCAAGATTTTTAATAGCGGTCTGTCGTAGAGAGTTCGTTCTTTTTTTGTTTTAAAGAGGAAAAGAAACTACATCGACTGACCGGCGTCGATTTTTGAATAAGGTCTTAGTTTTTTGTTAAACTGAGGATTTTTAGAAAATCCGGAAGGATTTTTCGGGTTTCGGAGGTTGTTGGTTACCTGGAAAACCAATAAAGGCTTAATTGAAAAATCGGTGCCGGTCAGTCGATGTAGTTAGATGTCTAGTTTAAAATAAAGCAAACCCGAACTCTCCAGCTTGAAGTATATTAAAAAATCTTGGGATGCCGTTCAGAGTCCTTTTTGGACCTTGATCTCTGGAAAACTCCTAAACCGTAAGACTTGGAGACAAAAAAATGTTTCATTCCCGTAACTCATTGTGCCTAACATTTATGGAAAGTTTCGCCAAGGTCAGATGTACGGTGTCGGAGATAATTTCTGAGGGAGGGGGGCCCTTAAACAAAATTAATTTAAATCAATTTATAATAACTAATTCATTTAGATTGATTTGGAAAACATTTGCTAAAATTAATTTCAAATCCAAAATTAATCTGAACAAATTTCTCTATCCAAAATTCATGTAAATTAATTTCAGGTTTTTCGAAACTAAAATAGGTACTTATTTCGGTTTTAGAAACATGTTCAAGAATTTCTCAGACTGTCATGGAATTCCTCGCAAAAAATTGCTTCGGGAAACTTAGCCTCTAACTATATCAGATATACTATGGAGACTTTCAGTTTTTACTTTTTTGAAAAAAATATTGAAATCTTTATCAAGTAGTTTGAACTAACTTAGTCTCAAATTAGTTTAAATTAATTTTTAACCAAAAGTTTGTAAACTCATTCGCATGTAAATCGATTTAAATTGATTTGAATCTAAATTAATTCTAAGAAATTTTTAATTTAAAATTAATTTTAACGAATGCTTTTCCAAACCAATTTAAACCACTCTAAAATTACGAATTCATTTAAATTAATTTGGTAGGACTAATGGAAAACGAGTGGAATTTCCGAAAAGCATTAATTCAAATTAATTTGAAGTTTCACATTAGTGCAGAGTTTTTGAATTAATGCAAACTAATTCGGAATACGAAATTCATGTCACTTAATTTAATATGATACTATGTGTAATGCGGTCATGAAGGAAACTAATTTTTTCACGAAAAAATCAATTGAAATTAATTCGAATTAAATTTTATGATTTGTTTTTATATTTATTTAAAGATTTAAATTGATTGACATTAATTTTGAAAGCAAAAAGGTTTTTTAAATTAATCTGAACAACTTTCCTTTTAAATATGTTCAAATTTCTTTAAATTTCGAAATTAGTTTGCATTAATTCGAAAGTATTTAAAAGTTCCAATGTGGTACTCTAAAAGCTCGAATTTCACATTAGTTGTAGTTTGTTAACAGAGATGATCTTTTAATTAAAACAAAGATGTCGATGCTTGTATCAAATATCTGAGAAGAAACTGGAGGAAATTGAATAATAAATTTTTAAGAAAGAGTGGCGTATTGTGAAAGCTCTAGGTGGCTGCTTTCACCTTTTTTTCTGTCAACGAACGGATTTTTCTTCCCACGTTGAAACAGAAAGACACCCTAGACAATGTTAGAGGATTTTGTTTGAGTAGTGGTTTTATATCTTGATGAAAGGATCTGAGTTTGTAAGAGTCGAGGATGTTTGTGAGTTTATATGACCATAAGCAGTTGAAATGAAAGTTTAGAAGAGGCAGACAGAAACATGCAATCCCAACTTAGATGTGAAAGAACAGCTTAACCTTACAGTCTCGAGCGAAACTAAGCTTTGATCCTTGACGTACAACTAAATACACGGCGAAGTGAAATTTTGAAATAGCTTTTGCAGACAAACTACGGTACTCTTATATGAACGAAAAAACACGCTTGTTCAGTCCATATCTTAGTTAATCTAAACGCCAGAAGCAACTAACAATAAGACTGCTGTTTTATACATCACAGAAACGAAGTTGAAATTCATGATTTTCAGCAGTAATTGTTAATATAATAAGACATCTTTTACCAGCGATATAAACTGCTAAGTCAATTGTTTTGTCTTTACTATAGGGAATAGTAGCTTTCGATTGTTTCTTGTTTGAATCAATTAGATAGAACTTCTTAACATCTGCTGAATAAATTAAAAATTCTTCTGTTGGTAAGGATAAAATTGAATAATTCCATTCACTCTGTTTTAAATCAACTTTATGTAGAACTGACATATCATTTGAATTACGAAGTTCGAACCATGAACGATATGAAGTGTACAATAATGAACTGTCTTCAGATAGAGCGACGCCGAGATGAGTTCCATTATGGCTAAACTGAATGGCATCAATCGTTCGGTCGTCTTCTTCATCATACGATTTAAGTAATTTATAATCAGCTTTCAAACTGTAGCTTTCAATTTGACTGGATGTGGCCACAAGTAAAATTTCATCGTAACATGTACATTTCTTAAATGATTTTCTGAATTCTTTGAGTTTTTTCAATCGTATTAGTGGAAAAACACTCAGTGAATAGAGTGCTTTGGAATACAAGATAAAAAATCGATTGTGGTAGGTTGACCAACAGACTTGATCTGGACGCCAAAATTCAGGTAGATTACAATTCGATTGCACTATCAGCTGTTGTTCATCTCCTTTTTCATTGAAAAGACTGAATGAACCATTCCTGGGTCAATTACAATAGTTAATCGCGGTTTTTCTTTCAGTTTACTGAACTCTAATGAATCGTGAAGGCTTATCAAGCTATTTGAGGCAGGGGCCAGTGTTGTTGATAAACTAGCTGTAAAGAACGATAGAAATCTATACTTTAAACATAGTTGAAAGTGAGCAGTACTGCGAGGGATAACATTTTCACTTAAAGAGTACATTCGTAAAACTGGGAAAAAACTACCTTGATCAGCTACTTCGGAGTCTGTTTTAGAAAATTCAGCAGAGTGCAAAACTTGAGTGTACTCTGTCATCAGTATCAAAAGGTATGTATTGCTGTCAGATAAGATTTAAGCTCATGCTTACCCTCTGTTGGTTTCTCTTTTATTTGCTGCTGCACCATGGGTTGATCATCTTGCTGCTGTGGTTGCTTCTGTTGTAGTGACGGTGTAAAGGGTGACTCAAGGAATGCAAAAGAACTCTGAATGTTATGCTTAGCTATCCAAACATTTTGTTCCAAGTCGATAAAGAGATTTGACGCGCTAGAAATGTCTTCTTCCAGTGGAAGAAGTGGCGTGTCTCGGTAACCTTTGATGGGTGTGAGGATTTTAGCAATTGGTTCATCGATTGTATCATTGTAACGAGACTGAGTGATGTCTGCTGCTGTGCTATCATGAGGTAGAGCTGTGGCCATTTGATTGAAGGTAAAACGGTACGTTTGAAACGCGCCGTTGTATTTTTTTATTAATAATAATGAACCAAAAACAAAATAGAGTGGCTTCTGTTCGATTGCTTCTTTATTATATGCAGAAAAAATATTTTTTTTAAATTTCATTCTGTTATTTGTTTACAGTACACTCCAAAGAATGATTAATACTGTTCTCTGCAAGGGAAAAAATCGGAACTCTTATGAGAGGCATGACTCTATTTTTAATTTTACTATGCCGCGCTAACTGTTTTATTATATGGTATCTCTCGTAATTGCTTCTCAAATTCACCTACATCTCTATTTAATGGTCCAGTCTTAGAATAATTTGACCGTATTGCACCATTCATCAGTTGAATACTCGCTCTATCTCGCTCTATATTCTTTGCTTGCTTAAATCCAAATTTCGATGTATAGATTTTAAACTCTTTTGGTATCACATTACTCTTTTTGCACATTTTAATAAACTGATTCTGTTCGTAAATGTTAACCATTTAATTAAAAACAAAAAAATTGCATCTAACTTCGTAATCATATCGAATTTAAAAAAATAAGTAACTATTAACGAGCTCCAGAACTTTTCTCTTCTAGACTGTTTTCTCTCACAACAGCGTACAAGTAAAAGAATAAATAAGCTAAAGTTGTGAATAAGTGTTCTTGTAGTACTATTTACCCATTGAAACATGTGACTATCTTCATCATATCGCCGTTGTATACTTCGTTCGAGAATCATCAGGAGAAAACCAAACGGTTCGTGTATTATCTGGCACATAAATTAAACTCGTGCTTAGTTGAGTTTTCAATCTATCGTAGTCAGCAGGTGTAACATTAAACGAATCCAGAAGTCGTTGTTTGCATGCTCTCTATCAAACAATTCATTGCTAATATCGTCATATACATTTTTCACTATGTTTATATAATAAGTTAAAATCGACGGATTATTTTCAATAATTTTATCGACTGAAGTTAGAGTGAGAATAAAATGATTATAGCTACCGTCATCAATTTCTTCAAAATATCTTTGTAATTGTATCAACAGCAGTGATTTCATATGATTAGCAACCATGATGGTTGTTAGAAGGTTTAGAAGATGCAGAACGGGACGAGATGATTGCTTTTTGCATCGTACTCCTTTCCTCACTTTTCCGCCTAAATTAAATTTTCTCCTCCTATTGATATCAACTTTATTCTTCCAGAATACAAGTATTCTGAAGCAACAAAACAATTCTGAATTCTGAATGAATAAAGCTTATATTAGAAGGAGGAAATTAAAGCTTAATTTAGAAGGAAAAGTGAGGAAAGGAGGACGAGTACGATGCAAACAAGCATCTCGTCCAGTACTGCATCTTCTAAAAATTCTTCGATCACATGAACAGTAAAAAAACGCCATTCCAACGGTTGGATACTGTGATTCACTGCGCAATTTTGTTGCTTCATAACGGTTTTTAAAACCATTTGTATCGGTTCCAAGATGTTCCATTCATCGCTGCTTAATTCAGTTGTGGCTAATTTTGTTTTTTGATCGGCTTTTATATCAGTCATGTATTTTTCATTGTACAATAGAATTATAATCGGTTTGTGAAGAAGTAGGGTTTCCGCTAGGTATCCGTCGGTTTCGGTTATAACCGATGGTCGGTGTTTGGTTAATAACCGAAACCGATACATGCCCAATCAAAACTGAGCACATTATAAAATTTCTTCGATTATAACCGATATTCGGTTATTTCGGTTTCGGGTTAACCGAACCGATGCATACCTAGTTTCCACCATCAACAGCGATGAATTTCACCGTGTTTTACAGTCTAGTTGTAATGATCGTTTTATTTTGAATTGTGTATGTTCAAGTTTTATAGAGATAGATCAAGCCTTACATATTTTTTGCTAAACCGGTCGAACCCACGAGGACACCTCTCCAGATGTATAGTTCCGTTTGAGCTCGTATTTTGCTGATCAATAGGGCACATGAGTGTAATAAAAAGCCTAAAAGGATTTGGGCTGTTACGGCTATCTTTCCGAGTTACGGTTGATTTAGTGAAATTTGAGCTTTTGCTATTTTTATTTTAACGCATTATCCCAATAGATTAAACAGCTAAAACTCATAGCAATATTAGTCATAAGCAAAGCCCGTATGCTACAAAACTTTCCCACCTTAGCCTTTTGTCCTTAGTCAGAAATCGAATTTTCTGTTTTTCATAGGATATCCGCAATGCCTTGCGAACTGCAGATTATTTTCATAAACTTATTTTCAAAATATCATTACAAGAAATCCAGAATAATAAGGAGCAAAAAAACAGTTATCATAAAGTTAACCAACTGATAGTTACCGTTATTTCAACCGTAACTGAAAAGACAGTTATCGTTAAAGTAACGACAACTGTTTTTCTCGTTACCGTTGTCGATAACGGCCGAAGAGGTAACGGGAACTTCTACAGTCCTAGTATTACATATTTTTTCTACTTATCAAAGCGGCTGACAATGTCAAGATAAATTAATTTGGTTTTTTGCTGACTGCACACTCTGCTGGAAAAATCACTAATTGTGACGGAATCGAAGTTCAGAATATCACTCCACTATTTCGAACAAGCCTGACTTGAAGGTAGAATGAAAAAGCAACTTTCTTACTATTTCGACCCATGTCTCCCTGTTTTTTTGCAGCATCCTAAGTCACGCGTAATTGGCATAGTTTACACTAAAAAGTCAACGCATTTCGACCCATAAATCTGTAAAGTTCCTCTTTTTGATATGTATAACAATGAAATAGTACATTACAGCACGGAAAAAACTACTGTGCTGTAGTAAAACGTCAAAAACGCATGAAGAAATCATAAAAAATCTTTGAAGGCCAACGTGAAGTCGTTTCCATACATCACACGCGATAAAAGCTAGATAAAATATCGGAAGCACCGATAACAGTGGAAAAGAAGCTAACATTTGTCTAAGGTTTTCTCGAAAACTCTCTAAAATCTGTTCAAAATCCTCTTTAGACATTCAAAAACCACCGGGTTTTGTTCAGCTCTTCAAACTCTATCGATAATCATATCTTAAAGTTTCATCACATGCTTGTAAAGTGCTGAGAAAGGAGTTGAAATATATATTTTAATATGTGGGTTTTTGAAAAGCCTTTAGAAAATCGTTTTTATCCAAGTTCTGGTACTCACCAACTGTTCAGATATCGTCAGTTTTTCGAGCTCTATCTAACCATGTCCTTGAAAATGTTTCAGCTAGCTTGTGAACGCGTGGAGTACAGTTTTAAAACAAATTAAAATTTCATATTGTGAGCTGGAATGAAATTTGGAGAGTCCGATTTTTTTTAAAGTGCAGCCCACTCAATTCTGAATAAAACCGCTAATTTGAAATATTTTTAGAGACAAGTGTTACTTTCTAACTGGATGTATGAATACATTGTTCAGCTGTGTTGTCAGATGTTTGTCATGGCAACAGCCTTAAAATTCTTAGAGTTGTTGAAATACTCTGTTAATATGTAGATTTTTGTTACAGTTTTAGGCGTCCATATTATTGTCGAGCCAAAAAAGATGATGGAATGATCTAGAAGTTCTGAAAATGGCTCCTTAATCTCGTTTACTTATGTAAGATCGATTTTTTGAAAAATACTGATATCTCAGTAACGGCTTCAGGTCAGAGAACTCTGAATATATATTCTAAAATGTCTTGGTATGAGCTATTAAATAGAAACCGTCTGTTTTCAAAGTATATCATGTACAGACAAAAGACAAAAGCACGTATGTCGACGCCGATCATAATGTGAAAGTGTGACCAAAAATTAAACGACAGGTGTTTGCTTACATTGTGGTAAATAGATACTTGTAAAAGTGATGGATGATTTTGTTAACATTCACGAGTAATCATTAGTAAACAAATCTGTAAGTTGTAATAAGCGTCTGTTTGTTCTAACGGTATGAGAATATCTTCACAAAACAATTCTTGTAATAACTTACTGGTCAGTCCTAAAATAAGACCACTTAAATGTGACTAATTTAAAATAACACATTTAAAATATATTAAAATATAAGTCGAGCGCCATCATCTACTCTTGAAGCCTGTGCGGATGAAAAACACACAGAGTGCTCGGACAAATGGTCTGTCACTTAAATTCATTAAATTTTGTTCACCCTCTGTGGTAAACAACCGTTACACATATTTAAGCTTCCATTGTAGACTGGGATTTTTCCTCAGGAATGGAAAATTGCTGTCGTCACACCCGTGCACAAAAAGGATTGTTTAGTAATAGCCATATCCTCGTTATATATGCTAGCAACATTTTCGAAAAGATTATGTATAAAAATCTAGTTCATTTTTTTTCTGGCTAACAATACTTTGTGTAAGACTCAGCTCGACTGTGAGCCTGGTTCGTCTAAAGTTGACGGTCTACTATGTGCTACTTACTTTATCTACAAAGCTATTAATGACTCGTAGCATTGTTTCGGACTGAACTTTGATCTTTCAAAAGCATTTGTTACAGTACCACATTCAGTACTTCTTCATAAGTTACGGTTAATTGGTATTGGTGGCAGATTTCTTGATTGGTTTTCATCATATCTGTCTTAAAGATTTCAATTCGTGCATCTAGAAGAACAGTTGTCTTCGAAGTCTAAAGTACGATCAGGTGTACCACAAGGTTCCATATTGGGCCCCCTTCTCCTTCTTATCTTTATTAGTAACATAATTCAAGTAGCACCAAAGTCAGAATTATACAATTTATTCGCTGATGATCTATTTGTGCTCATCCCATTTGGTAAAAATGAACTAGCTGCACGCATTGAACCGAGAATTCAAGAAGAAATCAACTGTATTTTAAAATAGTGCAAGAGTAATTCAATGTCATTAAATGCCGATAAATGTTCATGGACCTTTTTCTCTCTAAAATATATGGTAAGCATAAGAATTGTAATTAATAATATAATACCCAAATAGTCATTTTTCATCTGCTTTGGACTTTAATGATCCTCAAACATTGAGAAAAGAAACGTGAGAGTCGTGTAACTCAAGTGTTTATTACTTTTGAATTTTGTGGCAACGATTGAATTTGAGCAACTACGCTCAAGTCCAATATATATAGTAACAAAAGTCTAATAGTCGAAAAGTCAAGTAATCTAGCAAAAGTCGAAAAGTCTAATAGCCTAATAGTCTTTTTCTCTAAAAGATCATAACTATGCTCCAAGCATATCACTCTACATCAGCACCTCAAACTTAACGCTCAGTCAATATCCGAAACTGCTCGGAGTCACTCTTTCAAGTAATCTCAGGTGGTCACTCCAAATAAGAGACACAGCGATAGCTTGTCAAAGAATATTAGGGACTATCAACACTGTTTCGTGACGCATTGCAGCGTATTCATTTGCAATTATATAAAACATGTGTATTACCGAAAACTGTCTACTGTTGTGCTGTATACGACGTAGGTTTTACCACCCACCTTGCGCCTATTTTGTAGACACATCATACGACTACCTCTAGTAGTCACATCCATTCGTCTACTTCTAAGTCGCATGGAAGACACTGAAGTCGGTTGCCATTTAGCCGTATTTTAACGACTCTTTTGAAGTCGCTTTGGTGTGTCTTCTGGAAAAGACACATTAAAAAATTGTTCGTTTGTGTCAACAATTGAACTCGTTCTATTCGCTTACCAGACGAATGTGTTCACGACTGAATCATACAGGCACATTAATTACTAGTCTTAGTGGCCTCTTACGTTGACGTTTCATGTGACACATTAAAAACTTAGTAGAGTCACATGGAAGGGGGAAAGATGTGACTACTACGCGTCTTTCTCGTTCACACGTCTTCCATGTGGCTTCTATATCCCTACCAGTAGACACACTGAAGACATGTAGAAGACATCTATTATTTTGAAGGCGTAATCTAGTCACACAAAATCCACTTTTTCTCGGTAGAGACATGAAAGTAGAAAACTATGAAAAGTAGAAGAGTATGAAAAGTTTTAAAAGTATGAAGAGTAGAATAATATGAAAAATATGAAAAGCATGAAACGGATGAAAACTAGAAAAAAGGGTAGAAAAGTAGAAGAAAAAGTAGAAAAAAGACTGCTGCCACATCTTCGTAGAGAAAAGTACTTTACACATCTTTTGTGTATTCTAACAGCCTCTTGAAGTCGAATTTCTTTTTGGAGTTTATGGATGCACCCAAATCCTAAAGTTGGCATTGTTTTTGCTGGTCAAACTGGTGTTTCTGGTGGGAAAGCAGATCAGTTGTGGTATCCTGAAGGTGTATTCATTGATGAAAGTGACGCTAATGGTCCTCTCTATATTTGTGATTCAAACAATCAAAGAATACAAAAATGGTTGCAGGGTGCAGCCAGCGGCACAACTGTTGCTGATGGTGGTAGGGCTGAAGGATTAACTACATTCACTTATCCGAAGGATATTATTCTGGACCGAATAGGAAATCAGATGTACATAGCAGAGAGTAACCACCAGCGTATCGTTCGTTAGCCATTAAGCTGAACGAATGGTAGTAAACCAGGAGGTGAAATTGTCATTCGTGACAAGTATTTGTCATTTCCTGTTGCAATTCAATTTGAACAGGTGACAATCTGTATGTTGCCGATGCTGGTGGGAATCATACAGTATGGAAATTTTTGTTTAACAAGGACTCGTGTGCGGAGAAAAGAAGTGGTTAATTAAAATGTGTGTAGATATGCCTTTCCTTACGACCCACCTTTATATTCATCCGAATAGTATTTTATCTTAATTTTTGCATTTGTGTGAGAAAGAAGTTTTTGTGTGTAGACAGATTGTCATGAAGAAAGCGGATCTTTGTTTTTTTATATCTTCGTGACCCTTTTTCCTCGATTTGTCGTCGCATGATCTACAAATATGGGCACTGTAGAAAAATTTTGAAAACACGAAAGAATCGTATGTGAACACTGAACTGTTCATATTTCTCGTTTAAATCCAAAAATACACCTGATTTCCGAAGTTATAAGCGGTACAGGTAGATCGTTTGACAGTTTTGGGTTTTAGGGAAGTTTTACTATTTTCTTGATCTGAGCCAATTGTTCATGAAGCCACAGAAAGAGAGAGAAAATTGAAGACACACTGTACCCTGCTCAGGTCCGATCCAAAATAAATGTTGTCTAGCGAGAGCACGACCAAACTGCACCCGCCGAGGACTCATCCGTCCGCACTATGTACTCAAGCATAGTTTTTAGTTTTTAGTTTTTAGTATTCAGTATTCAGTATATAACTACCACTCTCTCAAAACAGGCAGGAATGTTGTAGGACGTTAATTATTCACTTCATGAGGGTCGCCAGAGTTAAAAACCGATATAATACTGCCAATTTTCCGAGCTTTATGAAGCTGTTCCGGTGCTAGAGATTGGTTGCATAAATATGTTATGATCGTAGTTGTGAGAGGCGCCGGTTCGCTAACTATTCTCGCTCACAGACCAGGTGCACTAGTTCTACTAAAATCAATTCTACACAGTAATTCAAAAACTTCACTCTCATAAATATGAAACTTCGCTGTTGAGAGTTTGCTAGATCTTGCAATAACTAACGGCACAGCGTTAACCTCGTTAAGTGGTATCGAGCAAAACATCGCGAAATGTTTGTTTAAAAGTTCAGCCTCTTTTCCTGATCAGTCATTAGTTCTTTCATTAATTAACGCATATCTCGGTCAAAAAGGCATATCAGCTCAAATCCTCTGGAGATTCTTCTCGAAGAAAAGTCAGAGTAAAGCATCACCAACTACGGCAGAAACTCCATTTCAAAAAGATCGCTCTCACAGATCGCGCACAGTCAATCCGCCGTGTGTTCTGTATGATCATGATGTGTGTCTAGCATAGTCCAAGATGCGATATTCAACGTGCATTTCGGATTTAAAAATATTGTGCCTATAGCCAAAGTTATAAACGCTACTACGTAGACGGGATGTAAAAACGGACTTTTTACAATAAAATGCCTAAAACTTTTGCTAGGAATGTCCGTTTGAGCGGCAGTTTGTCTCACTGGAAAGACCGTCGATCATTCCTTATGTACATGTAAAATTGTATATATATTGTACCTCTGGAATATGTACAAAAAATTTTCTGCTTAAAAAGCGGCTGGCCGTTCATAGTGCACTTTTCAAAATCGCTTTTCTGTATGCCCCACGAACCATAGTTCTCGAGACATCAACGGTCTTTAGTAGTCTGGTGGGCAGCATATTTGGTATTGTGTTCAAGAGTTTGGTATGTCTAAAACCTCCTCAGGCGGTTTGAGTCCCTGGTCGCTAAAAATATCCCCAAACTTCGATCTTTACAACGTTTTAAACGTTAGAAACACTAGTCACTATCACCTTTAGGACGTATTCCTAGATTCTTACACAGTTCGTCTATATCATCGTATAGTTTCGCAGCCATCCTTTCATTTTCCGCAGCCAAATCAAATTCATTAAGTGCTCTGTAAATACCAACCAATTTCAAATGACTCTCAGCTATCGTTTGTTTGTGAACAACTATAATTAATTAAAAGAAATTTGGAAATTAGCTGATGCTAATGTAAATTCTTACTATTTTCAAAAACGGTGATCCAAGAGAATGTTTACGTCTTTTGAAGAAAAAATGCTAGACACCTGCGATTTTCACCATTCGAAAGCGGACGTCGGGGCACGTAAATCTATGAAAAAATTAATTGTGCAGATGAGGTTTACTCTGTTTCAATGAAAAATGTAGGAGAATGCCGTTCTCAGACAGAATGACGAATTTTAAATCCAAAGTAGTGCATTCGATAGTACAAACTGAGATCTACAATTGTGAACTCATCCCAGATCTCCAGCCCTTATCATTCTTGAGTTACAGGCATTCTCCGACAAGGTGCCTATCTCATTCTAGACACGTCTGAAGATTCTAAAAACACCTGTCACATACGTTACTCGATGCACTGATCATCGTGGCATTCTGCTGTAGCAGTCGACTGAAGTCGAACTGGGCGACTTTTTGAAAAAGTTAGGTTTTCCTTCAAAACCCTCCAAAATGAAAAATCCTTATAACTCACTCATTTTTTATCCAAAAGCATTCAAACTTTCAACATAGACTCAGAATTCGACCGAGAATATGTAGAAAAGTCCAAAGAGCGCGTGACTGGCTGAAGCCCGGGTATTGATTTTCCAGAAAACCTGTTACGTAGCGTTTTATACGTAACTTGTTTCCTTCTTTGTGTCAGTGCCAACAATGAATTATGTTTTCATGCTTTATTAACAAACATATTTACATCAGAGAACGAGTACATTACGTCAGAGAATGAGCATTTCTATAGTTCTTGAATCAGAATTTTCTACGTTTCCTAACAAACCTCTCGAAAACTAGAAACTAAGAAAGATTTTGTGCGCGATCTTTGGACTTTCATACATATTCTTGGTCGAATTCTGAGTCTATGTTGAAAGTTTGAACGAATTTGGATGAAAATTGAGTGAGTTATAAGCAATTTCGTTTTATAAGATTTTTAGGAAAAACCTTGTTTTTCGAAAAATCGGCCCAGATGCTCTCCGGTCTATTGCTAGAGGACAAAAAATGTTGGCACAATGATCGCATCGAATAACGTATGTGACAGGTGTTTTTAGAATCTTCAGACGTGTCTAGAATGAGATAGGCACCTTGTCGGAGAATGCCTGTAACTCAAAAATGATAAGGGCTGGAGATCTGGGATGAGTTCACAATTGTAGATCTCAGTTTGTACTGGAATGCACTATAGTGTATATCGAATGCACTACTTTGGATTTAAAATTCGTCATTCTGTCTGAGAACGGCATTCTCCTACATTTTTCATTGAAAGACTTAACAGAGTAAACCTCGTCTGCACAATTAATTTTTTCATAGATTTACGTGCCCCGACGTCCACTTTCGAATGGTGAAAATCGCAGGTCTCTAACCTTTTTCCTTTAAAAGATGTAAGCATTCTCTCGGATCACCGTTTTTTTGGAAACAATAATAGTTTCCTGTGAACCTTGTGTAATTACCTTCCTCATTATAATTAATATAAAAGTCTTCGTCACCCGGATCTGGTTTCATACTCGCTGTATAGTGATGGTTTATTAATTGATATTCCAATGCCATACGATAATCATTTTTATGTTCAATATAGATATCTACTATTTTACCGGAAACCCTAAGGACGAGATAGCGATACGGTCGAAAGTTTTCAAGTAATAGTTTTAAGGCTCTTTCATAGTTGATTAATGCATCATCGTACTTACAAATCTCTTCTTTACATTCGGCCAATTGCCGATATGGTTGAGCTAAGATTGAATCATTCGGAGAATAGTACTTTGACATATGTTCAAGTTGCTGTTCTTTATGAAAGATGGCTAATGCATAGTTTTCTATCGTTTCAGCAGTACCAGCATCAGCAGTTTCGTTTAATTTGTTCTTCTCTACATACAAAGAGCTCAGTCTTTTCTCAATATCGATTCTTTCATAATTCATAGTGGCTTTTTCGACTGCTGTGTGATATAAGTCTATCGCTAATATATAGTGGTCCATAGCCAGTTTTTTGGTTGCATAACCATATTTGTGTAGCCGACCGATTTCTTCATGAATGCGACCAAGATCAATTGAAAAGTTTAATTCCTCATCCCTTGGATATTGATGCCACATCGTCAGAGCTTGATTGTAATACGATAATTTCTCAGTAGGAGGAAAATGATTTTTAAGTTTAAATGCTAGACACTGAACTTTACTGATTGACAACCAACCGCTTTCCGATGGAAATACTTTCGTGATTTCATCGATTATTATGTCAAGTTCCTTCTGCGGTACCTGTATATAATCCATGTCAGAGAAGAATAGAATATTGACACTGTTCTTCAAAAGTTTTCTGTCTGCTATGTTATCAAAATTAAGCGGTTCGACGTAAGTGTCGTCATGATATACTAATTGTAGTTTCGCAATCCAAATATTCAGACTTACATCGTAAGCGAAGTCAGTTAGATTAAACATATTACCAATCATAAACAAAACCTCTGATTCACTTGGAAACTGACTCAAGTGCGAAATATCGGCAAATGGTTGTGACCTACCTCGAAGATCAATTTCAATTTCAAATAATACAGACTGAAGTTCATCATCATCACGATGCGTTCCTCCTAGACTGAGAAAAAACAGAGCTAAATTTCGATCGAGACTTGTCGATAGAAAGCTATTATTTATTCGGTAGGCATAGGCATAATAGGATCTATCCGGATTATTTTTGTCCAGTCTTTTAATTTCTGTCATTTTCATCATTTGTCCTCGATATAATTTTATTGTTGGACTGTCTAAATGTGCCGCCGACGATTTAAATTTCAGATGCTGTTCTTTCAGTTGCTTATAAATATCACATAGAAAAAAGCCGAGTAAAAATAAGACTTCGGTGTTGTGTTGACGTAGTGCTTTATTCAATATACGATAGAGAAATGTTTCACGTGTATACCATCGAATAGCATCCGTTGATTTGTATGTTCGCTCAAATTCTTCGAGTATGTGTAATTCCGTTGCATTACCCTGATAATAATTCTTTAATGCTGTAATGAGTTTAAGGCTGAAATCGTGTGGATAGGGAAAATGACAAAGAAAATTGATATAACTAATCCACCATGATGCGATATCATCAGTTGTATTTTCATCGCTACTGTTTAAATTAAATATTGTCTGTTGTTCATCATGCTTCAAATGCGCGTGAACATCTTCAAGTAAGCATTTTAATATCTCTTTCTGTTCAGTATATGTACCTTTAATCTAAACAATCGAAATAGAAGCTGCGAATTTGATTAGTTAGGTGGGCTTTAGGTTAGGTTAGATCAAGGTAGTAGCGGCGCCAGAAATCTATTGGTGGGAAGGTCCGAACCATCTGAGGTGAGGCTCAGCCTTCCTGCCCACCGCGTGGCTAGGTCAAAGCTTTTCTAGGGTAGGATTATGTTACTAAAAACTTGTGACCTGCTCTAATTTGAATGATCGGGTTTTTTATGCTTGAAAAGGTGAAAAGAGAACGAAATTCAAGTAGTTAGGCTCAAGACAGAAGCGAGGGTCTCTTTCTCACTGTCCCGATCCGTTCCTCGGCATGCACGTGACGGTGAGGTCCCGAGTAAAAGGAAGTTCTTCCCCCAGTCGGAGTCAGTTTTTTGGTTTTCTCTTTGTCATTTCCCGGCAGTTTTTTTGAGATCTGTTTAATAAAAACTTCTTTTATTTTAGCAATTCTGTCAAAAAATGTTGCAAACGGAGAGGGTAATCAGTGCTCAGCTCATGTGGTCTGCACTGAATTTTCATGGGCTTAAAACAATATTTGTCAGCTGAGTTACCAATCGGGCTTTTCACTATAAGTTACTTCGATTCCCAGTATACCTGAATCTAAATACAGAATCAAATGCATTCTATCATGTCAAGATCATTTTTTAACCGTTTTCTTTCAATTCCACAAACTTAGCATAATTAATTTTTGTTTCTAGCTTACTTTTGAATAATTACAGGCCCACTGTTGAGGAGACAATTTAGTGTTGTAACCATAGATATAAACAGTCGAAACATTTTTAAGATGATGGACTTTTGAAAGTAAAATTTCGGCCAGGTCATCGGATACAACTAGAAATGTTGTTATCGCACAGTCTTGGGCATTTTCAAGAAATTGTCGACACTCTTCAACATTATCAAATAACTTTGCATAGTCAACTATTTTACGTAGACTTTCAAGGGTTATTTTATGGTCGTCATCATTGTGTACATTTGCATCTAACCAGAGTAGCTGATATGATTCAAGATTGACTCGAGCGCGATCAAACAGTTGACGATGTTGTATAGGATTTTGCTTTTCGGGCGAGGTAATGGTTCTTACACTGTCCGGTTCATATTTCTCAAAGTCGCACACGATTGATGACGTATGCGATTCTGCAGAATGTCGACTTATAGCTTTTGGCTGTACTTTATCTACATTGGTTGAAAGTGGATTGCTGCTGATGATTTTTGAAGCAGCAGCTGAAGTATCGGGCGGCAGCTGAACTATTGGATAGCTCCGTTTTTTGCAGCACCACATAGGCTTCCGGCGTGTATGGGGAGTTAAAAAAATCGGAAAAAGTCACCGTCTGTATTCCTGGGATATCTTCGGCTTGTCTGGCTAACGGTCCTCTTCTTTTTCTTTCAAAAAATTCTTGCAATAAAATTAAAAACTATATGGAGGCTGTTGACAGTCTTTCAGATATTTTGAACATTTCTCTACAAAATGCGACGTGTATCGACTTTGGACAATGTACTGGTGCTGCGATACAATGATTTTAGAAATAGCTCCAAAAATCGATTCTGAGGCCTTCTAAAAAACGACCCGAAAGTAGTTAAAAGAATGCAGAAGAATCGATAAACTATATCAGTTTGTGGAGAAATATTTGCTCTATAAGATACAATACTTCTTAAAGTTTTTATGTTCCGTTGATCAAACGTTATTTATCTTGGAAAAAACGAAAAGAAAGGTAACGCAGTCACGATTTTGGTCATTTTTCGTGAGTGCGTTACCTTGTTTTCGTTGTTCCAAGATAAATAACATTTGATCAACGGAACATAAAAACTTTAAGAAGTATTGTATCTTATACAGCAAATATTTCTCCACAAACTGATATAGTTTATCGATTCTTCTGCATTCTTTTAACTACTTTCGGGTCGTTTTTTAGAAGGCCTCAAAATCGACTTTTGGAGCTATTTCTAAAATCATTGTATCGCAGCACCAGTACATTGTCCAAAGTCGATACACGTCGCATTTTGTAGAGACATGTTCAAAGTATCTGAAAGACTGTCAACAGCCCCCATATAGTTTTTAATTTTATTGCAAGAATTTTATGAAAGAAAGCAAAAAAAGGGAATCGTTAGCCAGATAAGACGTCTTCTACTCAATAAAAGAAATTATAGAACGAGGATTTTCAGGCATTTTTATTACACTGCTAGTCGAGCGTTAGAGCAAAAAGTCGCAAGGCGCGGATTATCCGATGGCTCCAGAATTTGCCGTACCTGACATGTGAAAAAAGTGGACGAATACTGTGTACTCCAGTAGTCTCGAAAAAAGATCGAATCTGAGAGAGATGTAAGTTACTTGAAATTCAAAATAAACTGCGCTCTTCTTAAAATATCGATCAATTTTCAGCTTTTACACTTACGATGTTTTTAGCGAGCAAATTGTTTCTTCGCAGGAAGGCTATTTCAAAAGGAGAGTGTGGCGCAGGGAATACAGTTTTTTCTTTTCTTTTTCTAGTTCTCTTTTTTTAATAATAATCGAAAAACAACAATATTTTTTTTTGAGCCATACCGTATTTGTATAACCTTGAAGAAAACGAAAAGAAAAAATAGACCCGAATGAAATACTCTAACTTATTTGTTTTCTACACACCATTCTTCTTCTTCTTCCTGCAATTATATATTTTATGCATCCCCGTGCGTATTTCATCAGAACAGAGTAACAAATGTGCACACTAAAACATTTATAAAGTGTGGCTCCTGTATGATGAAGAGACATAAAGCGCAAAGTGGTCAACAATGTGAACATTAGGCGAAAACACATGCGCTTTTCGTAAATTCAAATAACAGAACAAATACTTCAGCTGACGCCCTATCTTTGTGCCATTGAAAGTTTCTTTCTAGGTGTTATAATTGACGAGAAACGATTAAATAAAATTTTTGTCCGAACACAGAACCATGAAGATAAAAATTATTTCTCAAAACAAAGTTCAACTTTCGAAAAACTTATATGCAGTGCAAAAATAGACCGTCCATTCAATACACTCATGAAAAAAGTTTTTCTTCTAGACGCCTTTATCGCTGACAAATAAAATTTTCTACCCACGTCCGTCATTACGACTGTCGTAAACGGTCGGTCGTAGCCGTCGAAGTACGCTGTCATAATGTGACGTATACTATTTAAATAATTTCCATTCTTTTCTTGAAGAAAAATTAACGTTTTTCTCCATCTTTTGCCTTTTTCTCGCTTTTTTCCAACTAGTTTTTGCTGTTCTCTTAAAAGAGCTGATCTTTGGCTCGATCCCGGTATTGCACCATTTAATTAATTAAACTGTAAGAGTAAAGTGAATGGCAAAAAGTACAAAGAGTACAACGTACTCACTTCAATACTGTTACAGTATCAATTAAGTAGATAATATGCTACGTGGAGGATGTACCATCTTGTTGTCGGACATGAATGTTACAAGCGAAAAAAATTATTATCTGTTGCTTGGTGAAAATGCCCTTGAAAAAGTCATAAAACCAAAATTATCGTTTAATCCGAACGATCACCGATGATCTAAAACAAATGTCAACAAAACAGTTAAAAGAGATTCATCAACAATACATCGATCAAGCGAACAGCGATGGTACGAGTCCTCAACTTGAATTGATATATCCAGAATTACTTGCTGGAAAAGAAGGTCAACCAATTAGACTATTGTCAGATGAAGCGCGGTTAAAACTGGACGAATTGAGTAATAAATATATTCATACGTAAATATATTCAAAACATTGATGAAATATCGAGCAGCACTAAAAAACGATTATTGTACAAAACATAATGATAGACTAGTATGGGATTAAACAGTTACTCAAAATCAGATAATAATAGGTGCAGTGTGAAAAAAATTATGTTTGAATTAATAAGCTGCCAACAAACTCGTAGGGAATGAATTAATCAGCCCGCTTATTTAAGTGTTTGAAAACGATACTGTTGCAAAAATTAAAGCACGTGTTTCTTTCTTTTATTCTATTAACTCACATTTTATAAGCTAGCAGAACCAAAAAAGGCTCTCTGAAAAGTGTCTGTCCGATTGCTCATAAGATAGCGGACGTATCATTTTGAAGCATTTGGTTGACGAGAAAAAACTTAAAAGTACGATTTTTCGAAAACTTCATCATTGTACATTTTTTCTGTTTTTTTGAGTGAAAAAACAAACGATTTGACATCCTAACTAGGTATGTAACGAGACCGAGAGCGGGACCGGGGTTCTCGTCTACTCGCTCTCGTACCCGCCCAGGTCAGAAAATCCTACTAGGATCCTATCAGTTCCTATTGGATCCTATGAAGCGCAGGATATGATAGGATTCCTGTTATGGGTTCCTACAAAATCCTATTATATCCAAGAATAGGTCTACATAAGATTCTGATTGTAGGACTGTGTGGCATTTCCTATATGATCCTACAACAAGATCCTACATAATCGGATCACAATAATCCTATAAAATCCTATAATAGGATAGCACAGGATATTGTAAGATTCTT